GGGAGATATCTGAAGAAAGATCATTCTGGTCAGAGTGACTTTGCACCATTGATTCTCTTCCTTTCAACATGAGAATATTTCTCTTTCTGTTGAGTTCAGTCATGTTTTAACATTTCAATACTTTATCCTGGTTAAGAAGAAATCTTCAGATAATTCTTTGATAGCCTTGGCATAAGGCAGGGCTTTTTTCCCCTTTTAATTTTTTTCAATATTTTTTTTATTGATTTCAGAGAGGAAGGGAGAGAGGAGAGAGAGATAGAAACATCAATGCTGAGAGAGAAGCATTGATCGACTGCCTCCTGCAAGCCCCCTACTAGGGATCGAGCTGGCAACCTGGGCATGTGCCCTTGACCTGAATCGAACCTGGGACCCTTCAGTCCGCAGGCTGATGCTCTATCCACTGAGCCAAACTAGCTAGGGCAGCCCCTTTTTATTTTATTTTTTAAAAAATATATAATTATATATATATATATTATTGATTTTTTACAGACAGGAAGAGAGAGGGATAGAGAGTTAGAAACATCAATGAGAGAGAAACATTGATCAGCTGCTTCCTGCACACCTCCTACAGGGCATGCCTGCAACCAAGGTACATGCCCTTGACCGGAATTGAACCTGGGACCTTTCAGTCCAGAGGCCAACGCTCTATCCACTGAGACAAACTGGTTAGGGCCCCTTTTTATTTTTTAACAAAACTTATAAGCCAAATAAAAGACTGATAACATTTTTAGAATGCAAAACCAATATCAGCATAGTAGAAAAACAAATGACAAGCTGTATTAAAGAGTAAATATTTTCACCTCTCTTTTCCTCACCCTACACATCATCTGGCTTCGCTAACCATTCCTCCCTTCCCCCTTCCTCATCTTTTAATACTCAGCTCAAGGGTCAATACTCCCACAAAACCTTCCCTGGTGCCCTCTTTGATGTACCTACACATTTCTGAGCATATCTGCATCATTGTTCTTACCATACTGTTTGGAAATTAATTGTAAACTGGATTTGTATGTGTTAATCTTTTCTTCCCAATTAGTTTGTAAACAACAAAGGCATGGTTTTGATGTGAATGATATAACATAGGTGAATTTCTTAAGCATCATTCTAGTCTTCCCTGGGTCTGCTACTTTCTGACCCAGTGACTTTGTGTACGTTTCTTAAACTCATTCCAATTTCACCTTTTGTATGGGATGATAACATTAATACCAATTTTACAATGGTATTCTGAGAATTGAATGAGTTACTACATTTAAGAAATGTGATTATAACTTGAATGTTTCTCTCATTCCATACTGCATCTAACTCAATGCATAAAAGTAACATGAAAGGTGTTACTTTAATGTTTACATAGGGAATGGGTGAATCCTACAGGGACTATTTTGTCAGAAGGCAGGCATCCTGGCTCTGTGGTACGTGGGTGGATGTCTTTGGAGACAAAAACCACAGGAGATCCTTGGGGAAGGCAGACCTCCCAGGGACATTCTGAATGATTGCATGAGAAATGCAACTTTCAGGGCCTACATGGGGGCAGGCATTCCTATCCCACCTCCCATGCTGTGCTATTTCACACAACAAAAGGGAAGTCTCTGAGGACTCCTGCAGGAGTGAAGTCTACCCTCTCTCCTGCACTACTCCCTGAAGAGGAGTTGACGCAGAACTAAACCTAGTCCTGTTAGCCTCAGCACTGATTTTCCCAGGCATTCCATTTCCGCTACGAAGGTGGCATTTATCTATCAATGTTGTCCAACAGAACCTTCTGCAGTGTCCATCTCTGTATTCAGGGTGGGGTAAAAAGTAGGTTTACAGTTTTGAGGATGCAAACTGCCGGGGTTCTTGTCCCAGCATCAAGAAGGGTTCAGGAATCTGGAGAAGGCTGTGCGTAGATGTTAAATAAGAGTCCAGAGACTAATAAAGAGTCCGGAGAGGAAATATAATTTTGAAAGGCATTGTGGGTCAGAGGAGCTTAGCTAAAGGAGCTAAGACCTAAGGTCTTAAGTCTAAGGCCTTAGGTTCTCCTCTTTCCCAGGACCCCATGCTTTTTATTAACAATTTGTCCTAAGGCGAGGCAGATATATACACTTCAAAGGGTATACAGAAACATTGTCAGAATGGGGGAATTTGCCTACGGCTATACAGGTGTTTGGCCAGTAGGAGGCAATGTGTAGATTAAGATGCCTTTTAGCTGTCTGGCAGCCAAGAAATCAATTTAATGTATCCTATTCAGGTTTGGGGAAATGCCTTCAGCCATTCCCAGATGCAGCCCTGCTGTCATGCTGGAATTGGTCTCAGGCATCAAACCAGAGAGTTTATTCTTGTACTATCATTTATTAATTATTGTATTAGTTTCTACTCGAACAATTGTAAGCCTACCTTTGCCCCACCTTGTATATGTAGTCCAACACAGTAGCCACTAGCTGCATGTGGCTATTGAGTACTAGACATGTGGCCAATCTGACTTAGTAACTGATTTTTAAAATTTATTTAAGATAAATTGAACAGTGCAGTTTTATACAAACATATTTGTTGACCTTTCAAATTACCATTTGATGAGAACCTTTATGTGCTGCATACACTTGTATAGAGTATTTAATACACAGCCTCCCAATTTTCCTGGCTCTAATCTACTCTCTACATAGCAATCAGAGCAGCTGACCAGATCCTTGACCTGCTTAAACACCTGTCAATGGGTTTCTATCACTTTCAGGATCAAGTACCCCATATATGCATCCTCCTTTCTCCCTGCACCTTTATTTTCTTTGCCCAGCTTAATCCTACTTGGCCTTGAAAATCAAATGCCCTTTCCTCCAGGAAACCTTCCTTGAACATCCCTTTACCTACCCCTCTCCACTGGTCTGGTTGTGTGCTCTTCCTTTGGGCTCCCACAGCCACCCATGCTTTTCCTCTATCAGAACACTGATCATATTAGGGTATAATTACTGATTAAATCTCTTTTCCCTTTTGGACTCTGAGCTCCTAAGAACCATGGACAGTGTTATATTCACCTCTTTATCTCCAGAATCTGCACACAGTCTGTCTCAGAAGAGAGATCAAGGAATGTTTAAGTAAATCATTCTAAAATGTGTTGGCTTCTGTATTTACTAGAATCATACTTGTCACATCCTTTTTAACCTATCACCCCATTTATGACTTAGAGCACTCTTTGTGGTAGGCAGGGCCTTTGTCTCAGTTTGCTGGAAAAGGAAACTGAAGCTTAATGGCTATAATTGATTTATTTGTCCAACATTATAAAGCTATGCAGTCTGAGTTCGAATAGAAACCTGGCTCTTCAAACTCCCTTTGCCCATCTTCCTGTATTCAGTGAAGTTAATTCCTACAGCTCTCATAGTCTTTACCAGTCATTAAGATTGATTTGGGAAACTTAGGTATTTTTATCTTGATTTTTTGATATTGACATGGCTTGTGAATTTTAAACTGCTCAAATGTGAGGGCTATTTCCAATGGGTATTTTCATGTAACTTCCTATAGAAGATTCTTGTGGTGCCCACACCTTATCCCTAACTTCAGTGCAGGTGAGTCAACAGTTCTATGCATGTTGCCAGCAACTCAACCCCAAAGCTTTCTGGTCCCTCTGTTTTCCTGCCTCAAGACTTTCTCACAAACTCTATAAGGCTGCTTAGCCCTGGGCACACATAACCAGGACATGTGAAAGCTTTCAAACTAGGGGATGGAGGTAACCCTCAGTCAATGGGGATGGAAATTAAGAGGTAAATGACCCAGTTTCCTTGTTCTTTCGTAAGACAATGCTGACACACATTCTACATGGTGCTTCAGAGGTTCTCCAGTGAGATTAAGCAGTTACTAAAGCAATCAGCTCAATGGCACATTTTTTTTTCTTGGCTTTTCCCCCCCATCCCTCTTTCTCTCTCTCCACCTCACTTCTGTTTCATGGGTTTACCTCCCAAACACATTGCCAGCAGCCAAGCCCTTTCCCAGCTGCTCCTCCTCTCCTTTGCCTGGCTGACAGCTATTCATTCTTCAAGACCCAGCTAGGGTATCCACTCCTCTCATAAGTCTTCACTGATTACTCCCACCCTCCAATTTAGTTTCATCTCTATGATCCTGTAGCACCTGGAATACTACTTAACCTCTATCAAAGCCATTATCTCTTTTCCTTTCTCCAAAGCCAGGGCCCCTTGAGGAGTGGGGGCCCAACTAGCAAGGTACTTGTTGAAAAATCAAGTGCTCAGTAAAACTGGTAGGAATGTGCAGTAGCGAACTTAGGAATCATTTTTCATTCCACACACATTGAGCACTCACTTGGTGACAGCACTATGCTGAATACAAAGATGAAGACATGGACCCCAGGCATCAGGGGAGCTCACCATCGATTGAGGAAAAGAGAAGTGAATAATGCATAAAACACCGTAAGTGTTCGGACAGTGATGCACAAGGAACGTTGGACCTCTGAGTGTTTGGGTGGTGTGGGCACAGAATCATTGATTCTTAGGGCATTTCAGCGGAAGACGTATTACCCAGCACCTCCACCAGGCCAGGCACACGGTGGGTGGGTCAGGTGGAAAAGCGCTGGGGAATCAAGAAGCCGTTCCCAAGCTCCCAAAGTGGACTAGCACCTGGAGAAAAGCCAGCCCACCCAGCTCTGTGGTCAGCACGAGGACCCCTAGAAGGCCATCCCAGCACATCAGGGCCCCGCGCCCCAGAGGGGGCGGAGCATGCTCAGTAGCCAGGACGCCTGGCTACGGGGAAGAGCCGCTGAGTCCCAGCCCCCAGGCTCCCGGGCCCCGAGGGGGCGGGGCCTT